TGCGTCGCGTTTTCGGGTCTAGGGATCCCGAGCTTTTGTTCGCGACACGTCCGCGGACAAGCTCTCCCGTCGCGCTGTCCCCTGTGTCTTCCTTGGCTTTGTCCCGGACGCGCCTGGTTGGCAGTTCTACCACGCCACCTCGCGTCGTGTCCTGGCCTCTCAGGACGTCACTTTTGACGAGTCCGTCCCCTACTACCGCCTCTTCCCCTACCGCACTGCCCCACTCCCCCCCCCGCCTCTCTTCCTGGCTCCAGGTGCTGAGGTACCAGACCCCCTCCCCCCTCAGGGTGCCGCTCCCTCAGGTGTGTCCCAGGTAGACCCGGGTGAGCCTGTCGAGGTAGCTGTTGACTCTTGTTCTGCTGGGGGTGCTGAGCCTGACCGTGAGGAGTCTGAGGGTGCGGAGCCTGGGGGTGCGGAGCCTGGGAGTGCTGAGCCTGGAGGTGCTGAGCCTGGGGGTGCGGAGTCTGGAGGTGCTGAGCCTGGAGGTGCTGCGTCTGGGGGTGCTGCGTCTGGGGGTGCTGAGCCTGGGGGTGCTGAGCCTGACCGTGCTGAGTCTGGGGGTGCTGAGCCTGGGGGTGCGGAGCCTGGAGGTGCGGAGTCTGGAGGTGCTGAGCCTGGGGGTGCTGCGTCTGGGGGTGCTGTGTCTGGGGGTGCTGAGCCTGAGCGTGCTACACCTGGAGGAGCCCTCTCCTCCCAGCAGCTGCAGGAGAGGTACCTACAGTACTGCCGCCTCCGGAGAGGTGCTGCTGGAGCTCGTACCAGTACTTCCCCTCCTACCCAGGAGCTCCCCCCCATTCAGCAGATCCGAGAGTGGTACGCGCGGCGCTGCAGTCTTCGGAGTGGTGCTCCTGGTGCTGCAGACCCTGGGGGTGGCGCTGCTGCTGGTACTGAGGACCCGGGCAATGGAGCTGCTGCTGGTGCTGAGGACCCGGGCGGTGGAGCTGCTGCTGGTGCTGAGGACCCGGGCGTTGGAGCTGCTGCTGGTGCTGAGGACCCGGGCGGTGGCGCTGCTGCTGGTGCTGAGGACCCGGGCGGTGGAGCTGCTGCTGGTGCTGAGGACCCGGGCGGTAGAGAGCTGCTGCTGGTGCTGAGGACCCGGACGTTGGAGCTACTGCGGGTACTGAGGACCCTGCTGCTGGTGTCTCTGCTCGTTCTGGAGACGCTGCGCGGCCGCGACCGTACTTCGTACCGCTCCTTCAGCAGGTTCTTGGTCAGACTCCTCCTCCTTGTCCTCCTCCCTCCGTAGAGTGTCCTCCGCCTGTCCCGCCGCAGTCACAGTTACCGCCTGCCTCGCCTCTCCCTGCTCCCTCTCCTTACACTGGTCCCACGGGAGGTCTTACAGAGCGTCGTGAGCCTGAGTCTCGTCCTGCGTCGCCTGTTCGTACTGCTCGCACTGGTCGTCGTGTCCCACGTGAGCGTCCTCCTCCTGTCCCTGGCACTCACTACATGACTCTGCGTCCCTCCACTGCTCCTCAGCGTGTCCCGCTACCGTCTCCTCCCGCTTCCTCTCTTCCTACTCTTCCTGACCCGGAGTCTGACTCCCGTCGTGCTGCCAGTCCCACTGTCACGCGCCTCCTCGCTACTGTTGTCACTGACCCTACCTTTGAGTCCTCTGCTGCGTCTGCGCTGGTCGCTGAGCTGGTTGACTTTGCTGCCCGGTGTCGTCTAGACTACGCTGCTAGCCTTGTCGCTGAGTCTGAGTCTGAGTCTGTCTGTCCTCCGTCCGTCGGGGGTGAGTGTGCTCTTGGCACGGACGTCCTTGAGGACAGACAGGAGGAGTTCCAGTGCCTTGCTGCTGTTTTGCCCCGTCTCGTGTCCTTACTAGTTGCCCCTGAGGGAGACCCGGATGCTCCTGACATCCCGACCCCGCGCTCTTACGCTGAGGCGATGGCGGGTCCCTACTCCTCTCAGTGGCAGACAGCCATGGACGCAGAGATGGCTTCCTGGAAGTCCACACGCACCTACGTCGACGAGGTTCCCCCACCTGGGGCGAACATCGTCAGTGGCATGTGGATTTTCAGGGTGAAGCGGCCGCCGGGTTCTCCTCCTGTCTTCAAGGCGCGCTACGTTGCTCGAGGCTTCAGCCAGCGAGAGGGAGTTGACTTCTTCCAGACCTTCTCCCCCACCCCGAAGATGACCACTCTTCGGGTGCTGCTGCACATAGCCGCTCAGCGCGACTACGAGCTTCACTCACTTGACTTCAGCACTGCCTTCTTACAGGGCAGCCTACACGAGGAGATCTGGCTGCGTCGCCCTCCTGGTTTCACTGGGTCGGTTCCTCCTGGTACCCAATGGAGGCTTCAGCGGCCGGTCTACGGTCTCCGCCAGGCACCGCGTGAGTGGCACGACACACTGAGGACGACACTTGCAGCTCTTGGGTTCGCTCCCTCTACTGCTGACCCGTCACTGTTTCTACGCACAGACACCTCGCTGCCGCCGTTCTACATCCTCGTGTACGTCGACGACCTGGTCTTTGCCACTGCTGACACCGCGGCACTCGCCCACGTGAAGTCGGAGCTGCAGAGGAGACACACGTGCACAGACCTGGGGGAACTGACGAGCTATCTTGGCTTGCGGATCACCCGGGACAGAGCACGGCGCACCATCACCTTGACTCAGTCACACATGGTGCAGCAGATCCTTCAGCGCTTCCGCTTCACGTACTCCTCGCCTCAGTCCACTCCTCTGCCTACCGGTCACTCGCTCTCGGCTCTGCCTTCGGATGAGTCCGTAGAGCTGAGTGGCCCGTATCCAGAGCTTGTGGGCTGCCTCATGTACCTGATGACCTGCACTCGACTTGACCTGGCATACCCTCTTAGCATCCTTGCACGCTATGTCGCTCCTGGCCGTCACAGGAAGGAGCACATGGATGCCGCTAAGAGGGTGTTGCGCTACTTGTGCAGTACGTCGGGCATGGGGCTAGTGCTTGGAGGGCGAGACCGAGTTGTACTCACAGGACACTCAGACGCCTCTTGGGCTGACGACCAGGCTACTCAGCGGTCGTCTCAGGGTTACACCTTCAGCCTTGGCTCTGGCTCAGTTTCTTGGCGTTCTACACGCTCTTCTTCTGTTCTCAGCTCCAGTTGTGAGGCTGAGATCTACGCCACAGCCATGGCTGCCCAGGAGCTACGCTGGCTGACCTACCTGCTGACCGACCTGGGAGAGCGGCCTCGTTCTCCTCCAGTGCTGTACGTCGACAACAAGGCTGCCATTGCCTTGTGTGAGGAGCACAGACTGGAGCACAGAACGAAGCACATCGCCCTGCGGTACTTCCTTGCTCGAAATTCGTAGCAGCGTGGTCAGCTTTGTATTCGCTACGTGGCCACTGAGGCCAACACTGCTGATGTGTTCACCAAGGCGCTTCAGCCTTGTGACCATCAGCGCTTCTGCACTCTGCTAGGCCTTGTGCCTACTGGACCTCATTTGCTTACTTCTTGACCTTGCTTGTACTGTGATCACTATATCTATATGTATACCTGCATGTTTACTCTTGCTAGGTTGTGATCACTGTATCTCTTGCTCTATTATAAACCTGCATGTGGACTGGTCTTGTGACCGCTTGCTTGTGCTCGGAATTTGTGTGGAATCCTTGAGATCCACCCTGAGCTTGCCTTTCTTTGCTTTGACTGGTCTCGTGACCCTGTGGTTGTCTCCCACTGCGCCTATGGGGGTGTGTCAAACATTATATGTTTATATGATTGTAGGCTGTAGTGGGTTACACCTTAGGGGGTACACTAGATTAGGGTTTCCTACTTGTATCCAACTTTGTGCTAGTACAGTCATTCCTGTCCGTTCATTCTGACACATACTTGAGGCATGACGCGATGATGAGATTGACGAGAGCTACAAAAAGCATCAGGGGCTGATGAGATTCATGCTGGAGCTGATCAGATTAGCATGACACACTGAAAACAGAAATTGCGGGTGGAATTGGGCATGAGAAACTAAAATCACTAATCCTTCAAAATCTGACTTGAAAACTGAGAGCATAAACTGCTGAGACTGGCAGAAAAACATCATGATCCTGCGTGTGGCATGAAATACTAAAAGCATCATAAATGAGCTATTAAATGTGGAATAATCTCGTTTACAATATCTGCTAAGGGAATGGTGTATACAACTAGGGGTGCTGATAGCATCACTGCTGGTTGATACTCAGATAATTTGAAACAGGAGGGAGGGAGTAAAGGATTTAAGTAGGAAAGAAGATGGAGACAGATACACAGTGGGGAAGGGAGAGGGGGAGTTGGGAGAAATATGGATAATCAGGAAATCTTCTATATATTTCTCAAATCAGTGCAGTTCCCTCCCACGCACCACTCCCTCACAGTATCATGCTGAGCTGAAAGCATCATGAGCAACTGAAAGCATCATGTGAAAGGCATGAGGCTCATGAGGTAAGGAAGGAATGAGCTAACGAAAGCGACATGAGAGGATAAAAGAGTGATGAGCTGAAAGACTCATGACTTGAGTTGAGCTGATGAGCTGGCAGGAAATGGTGAAAGAATCACAAGACGTCGAAACTGGCATGCAATGCAGCATCAACATCCCCTTCTTCGAAAGAACAAATATTACACACAGCAACAACAGGTATAGCTGAGCTGATGTGAAAAAGAAGGGATAATCCTGGTTTTCTTTCATATGCCAGTGCTGTTCACGTTTCCGAGAAATGAAAGATGAGAAGGGAGGGGAGGATGGGAGTAGGCGGCGATATGCAATCGTGGAGAGGAAAGAATCATGAGCTGATGTGTGAATGGCATGAGAAAATGAATGAATGATGATGAGCTGATGAAATTGGAAAAAGATGGTGAACGCGTCATGGGCTGATAAGACTGCAAAGGGAAACTAAAAGGCACGATGTCATGAGCCGATGAATCTGGCGAGACTTGGTGAACACATCAGGAGGCATTCAAACTGGAATGCAGTACCCACCAAGCAGCACCACCATTCAAACTGGAATGCATAACTAAGCCCTGAGCTGGCTAATGCATAAGCACCGATTAGATCTCAGATACCTGAGATGGGATGGGATGGGATGGGATGGGATGGGATGGGATGAGATGGGATGGGTGCTGGCAATACAGAGGGACAAGAGATGCCACGAAGGGATGGGGGACCTGTGTGTAGAATCCTTGGAACCCCCAACCATGACATCAGAAAGAACTGCAGAGGAAACATGTTGACTGCACTTTAAGCAAGTGGAAAGAGGAGGGGATGCAGAGGGAAGGAAAAGGGTCAAATGGGGTGAAGTCATGAGACAGATGTCTCTAGGCCGCTTGGAATGAGCACATGGCATGATGGCATGACAAGAGAACTACTACTGCTGACCAAGTCAGCATGAACATTCCTCTTGAAATCAGACAACCAGTGCCAGCACCATCAAGTCTCTCCTCCCTGCTTCACCCATCCACAGGAACACACCCACGAACCATTCCTCCCTTCAATGCACACCACTCATTCGCACAAGCACAAAATGCACATCAACAGCATATATATATGTAAATCATGAACAAGTAGAAGCTACAAACCTAGAACATAGATTATGATTATCTAGACCTTCGTACTATTCATGAGCATGCAGGTGCAGCAACAGATGGCACAGTGAGCATAAGCACTCCCCGTAAAGCACACAGTCATCACAAGCATTCAGATCCAAGGGCATGCTCTTCCCCCTCATGCCATGCCTCCCCATTCCAGCTCACCACATTCCTCCACCTCTCCTCCCATCTCTCCCACAACACCCTGCAAGCAGGGTGGAAAAAGGGGTAAGTCCCTCCATGCACCTCCCTCTAGCCCCCACCAGCCATGCCATCTCGCCCACCACATTCGTCCCTTCACAACCCATTGAACATGACCAGGATCCCATCTGATGCTGTTGCAGTTTTTTTTTTGTCCTTTGCTTCTCTTTTCTGTTTTTTTTTTTTTTTTTTTTTTTTGTCGTTTTTTTTTCCCTCCTTTTTCTTATCTTTTCTTTTTCTCAATCATTCACTTGGCTGCTACCTTCCCTGGCTTGGGAATGCCACTCGCAGTCACTCCTGCTGCAACCCTCCTTGTTGACGCACTGCTTGCAGGTCTGGGGATCGCAGACCCGCCAGCAAGACCCGCCTTCATGGTGAGAGGAGCTGCTGCGGCTGCTGCTGGGCTGCTTGCACCTGCAGCCTTCACACCTACCGCGGCAGTAGGGCTTGCACGTGTCGCCTTGGCCGGTGCCGTCTTAGATGGTGTTGCTGGCGTCACCTTTGCTAGCGTCGCCTTAGCTGACGTCGCCTTAGCTGGCATCGCATAAGTTGGCGTCGCCTTGACTGGCGTCGCCTTAGCTGGCATCGCATAAGTTGGCGTCGCCTTGACTGGCGTCGCCTTAGCTGGCGACAGCTTGGCTGGCGTCGCCTTGGCTTGAATCGCCTTAGCTGGCGTCGAATTAGCTGGCGTCGCCTTTACTGGAGTCACCTTAACTGGCGTCGCCTCAGCTGGAGTCGCCTCAGCTGGCGTCGCCTTAGCTGGTGTCGCCTTACTAGCTCGCGTGACTTTCGCTGCAGCAGTTGCGACGGTCGCTTGACCGCTGTGCACCGCTCTGGGCTTCACAGCAGCAGCGGTACCCATCACATCCCTGGGCCTGGGCTTCTTGCTGGGCGGCTTAGCCACGGGCTTGGGTCGCAGAGGGGAGAAGCCGAGCGACGCACGGGGGGAGCGCACAGCGCACTGCTCTACCTCGTTAAAGCGTCCCACGCGCACTGCAATCGCGTGCCGCCACATCTTCAAGATGTTACCGCGACGCGCAGATCCAACAATTGACGAGGGGATCCGAGATGCCATAGGGCTAGGAACGAGAGGCTGATCGCACAGGCGCGAGAGGTGAAGCTGATCGAAGCCTCGAGGAGCTAGAAGGAACTGCTGTTCTGTGGTGACTCTGAGATTCGAAGAAAGAATGAGATTGCAACTGCTGTGGTGGGATTGAAGAGTCTTGTTGGGCTTTGAAGTGTTGGGAAGCAAAGAGTGGATGGATCTCGGGTGGAGAGAAGCAGCTCTTGAGGCTACGGAGAAGCAAGCCTACTGCCCGAACGGAGAAGAATGACAACAAAAAAACAGTCCGAAAAGTGCTCTGGTTCTGCTCTGTATTAGGAGCCGTACCACGGAGGTTTCGGTCAGCCGATAGGAAGCCGAGTCCGCTTCTCCAAGCCGAGCCTCGAACCCCCAACATTTGGTCCGCCAATAGGAAGAGTCCGAGTTTCCTGGTCGAAGCCGAACCTCGAAGCCCGGCACTGTCGGTTTAGAATATTGCGGCTCGTTCATCTACATTCACGGAGTATATGGGCAGTAGGCTCAACTGTAGCTGCCCAAAAATATACGGGTCGCTTTTCCGTTAAGCTCGCCCGCTGCCCGTGGACTGGGAAGCGGCTCGTCCACGAAAAAAGGGGTCCTCGTGGTGGTTGACTGCATGACGGGTGGAACTGAACGGATTTGCTGCCGTGAGATGAGCTCGAAGCTGCTCGAGAATGTCTCCGTTCCGTCATTGTGATTCGCTGAACACTGGAAACGCCGCTTCACAGTGGCGGGCAAACGCGACTACGACGGACCCTGGTCCCTGCTCCGTCCTGACTAGACGGAAACTATCGCCACGCCATTCCTGATCAGATCCCGCAACTCTGGTCCTTGGGAACTGCGCTCCCATAGAGGTAGGGTTTGTGTTTGGTAAGCATGGTTCGCTCCCAACATTCTCGTTTGGATTGCAAGAAGCAGAAATGCTGTATCTGCACATGCAACTGAATAAATATGATAAAAATTGCCTATAAATGTAGAAACAGAATCAACGTTCTAAAGAAGCCCGCCTACATACCGTATGCATTTCTAATCTGCGTAATCTAAATTTTAGACATTTCTCGTTTTTGTGCATTTCTCGTTTTTAATTTGCATTAATAATTTATATGGAAAGAAGACATGATTATGATTCATTGTGCATTTATAGGGTGGAACATTCCTCGGTTTAGATCAGACGGTGTAACAAGAAGACGACCGAAAGAGCCAAGCTATCAAAAGGGTATCTCCATTTGGCCTAAAGGCTCCATACATTCCAGGTGTGGTACAAACCTCCCTCCTTCATTCAATCCCCAACATAGATCACAAGCAATCCTCACTCACTCCCAAGCTGGCTCTCCCTTCCCTTCACATTCCCTTGTCTCCTTCCAGCCACCTTCTCCAGTCTCTTCACCTTTCCCCTATCCCGTATCATCTGTCAGACACGCAAACGAGCCTCGCTAAATGCCGAGCTGACTCCCTTCCCTCCCCAATCTGGTCAGCCCATTCACTCTTCAGCACCTTGCTATGCCTGCTTTCTTCCCCATCTACTCTCATCTCATCCACTAGAAACGCAGGGATGTCCCACACAAGTACCGTATGTCACTAGACAGGGAATGGACTCACTGGCACCAACCCTGTGCATGACTCACTGACTCACTCGCACCAACCCTGTGCATGACTCACTGACTCACTCGCACCAACCCTGTGCATGACTCACTGACTCACTCGCACCAACCATGTGCATGACTCACTGACTCACTCGCACCAACCCTGTGCATGACTCACTGACTCACTCGCACCAACCCTGTGCATGACTCACTGACTCACTCGCACCAACCCTGTGCATGACTCACTGACTCACTCGCACCAACCCTGTGCATGACTCACTGACTCACTCGCACCAACCATGTGCATGACTCACTGACTCACTCGCACCAACCCTGTGCATGACTCACTGACTCACTCGCACCAACCCTGTGCATGACTCACTGACTCACTCGCACCAACCCTGTGCATGACTCACTGACTCACTCGCACCAACCCTGTGCATGACTCACTGACTCACTCGCACCAACCCTGTGCATGACTCACCAACCCACCAGACCAGTTGCTGGCTGGGCAGCGGCACTGTCTCACTCACACCAACACTCCCCGCCCGACCAACCATGTTGGGGACATCATGAATGTCACTGGCATGCAATGCTCAAAGAACAATGAGTTGATGTTATACACTTATAGAAATAAAGGCATCATCGATTGATGGCACACACACAACACTGAAGCCCGAAGGGGGCATAAATTGATGTTCTGAGGAAGTTCACAAGGAAATCGGATGAGCTACATAAAATCACTAGAAGCTGATAAGATTTGCATGAGATACAGTACCTGAAAGTATATGCACTGAGGAAATTGACAAGCGATCTTGAAAGTTGTGTACATATATGAAGTTGGTATAAGATGCCTGAAAGCATCGAGCTCTGAAGAAACGGACAAAGAATCTTGAAATCATTGGAAGCTGGTAAGATTTTCATAAAACAACCTCAAAGCATATGTCTTGAGGAAAACATCAAAGGAATGCTGAAACATCGTAGGGTGATGAAGTTGGCCTGGCAGAAAACATCATGTGGCGAGGAAACCCACAAGGAATGCTGAAATAACTTCAAAAGAATGAAATCACAATAGGAACCATGAAAGCATAGGTGCTGAGGGAAGGTTTGAGATACAGAATGGATCATGAGCTGATGAGACTTGCATAAGATACTTCATGATGAGATAATATCATAAAAAGAATGAGACTTCGCACAGGTGCTGCGGGAAGGTTTAAATCATTCATTGTTAGCTGATGATTCATTAGATAAGATACAACATTTGATGTGATAATATCATAAAAAACATGTGATTTTTCAGAACAACAATTATGGCCAAGCATTAGACCTGAAAGAGCAACCGAGGGATTGGAGCCGGGCTGGGGGGCAATATGGATGCGCATGTGAGGGGAGGTGGGGAATTCAAAAAGTATTTTGTTCAGAAAACGTGGATACAAGGCAATTTCGTGTTACCCTTGACTCTCGCAATGAGGGCAGGCCATGAGGGAATTCTGAGAGAATTTACCGCTGAATAGAACGGCAAGGCAACATGAAATAGAGCAGGAAATGCGATCGAACAGAAATGAAATTGCTCGAAGCTAAAGGCAATGAAACAAAGGGCGTCAATGAGAGAGCATCAGCTGATGAGATGAGGTTCGTTACACAACAAAAAGGGCGCACGATGATTCTCGCCACACACACCTGCTCACCACTTGTCCTTGCTTCACCCCTCCTTGCACCAAACAAATCCCATTGGCCATCTCTTCTTTCTCCCACACACCACTCTCTCACAGATCATGATGAGATGAAATTAGCATGAGCCACTGTAAGGATCAAGAGCTGGTGCAAATGGCATGAGACTCATGAGGTAAGGAACAAATGATGAGCCAATGAAAGAAACATGAGAGGGCATAAGAGTAATGAGTTGAAAGACTCGAATGAGAATCTCAAAGCATCATGACATGAGCTGATAAGTTGGCATGAAATGGTGAATGAATCGCAAGGTGATGAAACTGGCATGCGATGCAGCATCGACATATGCTGCTTCGAAAGAGAAAATATTACACAAAGCAACAAGAAGTTTAGCTGACGTGAGATCTGGATAATACTAACTCGTTTTGATATTCTAGTGCTGTTCACGTTTCAGAGAAATAAAAGAAGAGGAGGGGGGAGGGATGGGAGGAGTGTGCAGTCATACATCGTGGAGAGAAAATAATCATGAGCTGATGTAAGTGGCATGAGAGATTGATGATGAGCTAATTAAAATTGGAATGGCACGGTGAACGCATCATGAGCTGATAAGACTTCGAAGAGAAACTCAAATGCATGATGACATGAGCCAATGAATCTGGCAAGAATTGGTGAGCGCATCAGGAGGCAATCAAACTGGATTGCAATACCCACCAAGCACCACATCATGATAACGAAGCAATGAGCTGGCTAACGCATAAGTACCGTTTAGATTTCAGATATCTGAGATGGGATGGGATGGGACGGGATGAGATGGGATGGGATGGGATGGGATGGGATGGGATGGGATGGGATGGGATGGGATGGGATGGGATGGAATGGGATGGGATGGGATGGGATGAGATGGGATGGGATGGGATGGGATGAGATGGGATGGGATGGGATGGGATGGGATGGGATGGGATGGGATGGAATGGGATGGGATGGGATGGGATGGAATGGGATGTGATGTGATGGGATGGGATGGGATGGGATGGGATAGGATGGGACGGGATGGGATGGGATGGAAGGGATGGGTGGTGGCGATACAGAGGGACAAGAGATGCCGGGAAGTTATGGGGGAAAAGGTGGCTGCGGTAGAAATCTCCGAACTTCCAACCATGACGTCAGTAAGAACTGCAGAACACGTTGAAATCATATTAAGCACGAGGGGATACAGAGGGGAAAAAAATGGTTAAAATGGGGTGAAGTCATGACCGCCTGGAATGATGGCAGACAAGAGAACTATCACTGCTGACCAAGTGAGCATGTGCATTCCACTGGAATCACACATTCCACTGGAACCATCAGGTTTCTTCTCCCTGTTTCACCCATCCATACGATACACCCACAAACCATTCCTCCTTTCACGCACCAAACAGTCGCAACACACAGGACAAAATGCACATCAAAAGCATATAGCATTAACGACTACAAACTACAGAACTAGAACAAAGGGCTTAGACCTAAGTGATAAATATCTAGAACTTATTTCTACTATTCATGAGCCAGACATGTGCACGGTGCAGCAACAGATTGCACAGTCAGCATGAGCATTCTCCTTGAAGCACACAGTCAGCATAAGCATTCAGATCCAAGGGCATGCTCTTCCAAGCAGATGCAGCAACAGATGGCAAAGTGAGCATGAGCATTCCCCTCGAAGCACACAGTCAGCACAAGCATTCGGATCCAAGGGATGTCGCTCCCCCTCATGCCATGCCTCCCCATTCCAGCTCACCACATTCCTCCACCTCTCCTCCCATCTCTCCCACAACACCCTGCAAGCAGGGTGGAAAAAGGGGTAAGTCCCTCCATGCACCTCCCTCTAGCCCCCACCAGCCATGCCATCTCACCCACCACACTCGTCCCTTCACATCCCCATTGAACATGACCAGGATCCCATCTGATGCTGCTGCAGTTTTTTTTTGTCCTTCGTTTCTTTTTTCTGGTCTTTTTTTTTGTTGTCGTTTTTTTTTCTCCTTTTTCTTATCTTTTCTTTTTCTCAATCATTCACTTGGCTGCTACCTTCCGTGGCTTGGGAATGCCACTCGCAGTCACTCCTGCTGCAACCCTCCTTGTTGACGCACTGCTTGCAGGTCTGGGGATCGCAGACCCGCCAGCAAGACCCGCCTTCATGGTGAGAGGAGCTGCTGCGGCTGCTGCTGGGCTGCTTGCACCTGCAGCCTTCACACCTACCGCGGCAGTAGGGCTTGCACGTGTCGCCTTGGCCGGTGCCGTCTTAGATGGTGTTGCTGGCGTCACCTTAGCTGGCGTCGCCTTAGCTGGCATCGCATAAGTTGGCGTCGCCTTGACTGGCGTCGCCTTAGCTGGCGACAGCTTGGCTGGCGTCGCCTTGGCTCGAGTCGCCTTAGCTGGCGTCGAATTAGCTGGCGTCGCCTTAGTTGGCGTCGCCTTAGTTAGCGTCGCCTTTACTGGAGTCACCTTAACTGGCGTCGCCTCAGCTGGAGTCGCCTCAGCTGGCGTCGCCTTAGCTGGTGTCGCCTTACTAGCTCGCGTGACTTTCGCTGCAGCAGCTGCGACGGTTGCTTGACCGCTGTGCACCGCTCTGGGCTTCACAGCAGCAGCGGTACCCATCACATCCCTGGGCCTGGGCTTCTTGCTGGGCGGCTTAGCCACGGGCTTGGGTCGCAGAGGGGAGAAGCCGAGCGACGCACGGGGGGAGCGCACAGCGCACTGCTCTACCTCGTTAAAGCGTCCCACGCGCACTGCAATCGCGTGCCGCCACGTCTTCAAGATGTTAGCGCGGCGCGCAGATCCAGCAAGAGTCGGGGGGATACGAGATGCCATAGCGATAGGAACGAGAGGCTACTCGCAAAGGCACGAACGGCGAAGCTAGAAGGTGAAGCTGATCGAAGGCTCGAGAAGCTAGAAGCTGGTCCTGAGAGTCAACGGAAGAATGAGGTTTCAACTTCTGTGGTGGTGGGAATGGCCAGGGTAGGTGGGCTTTGTATTCTTCGGACGGGAGGAGGTTCGAAGGCGGAGGGTAGGGTGGATGGAGGTCCAGTGGAGAGAAGCAACTCTCGAGGCCACGGAGGAAGCAAACCTGCTGCCCGAACGGAAAAGAATGACAGAAAAGAAACACTCCGAAAAGTGCTCTGCCTCTGCTCTGGGTAACTAGTCGAACCACGAAGGTTTCGGTTTGCCAATAAGAGGAGGCCGAGCCTGCTGCTCCAAGCCGAAAATCGAAGCTCGGCATTTGGTCAGCCAATGGGTGAAGTTCGAAACTTCTGTCCCAAGCCGAACCCCCAAGTCTGGCGCTGTCGTTTGACAGTAATGCGGCTCGTTAACCCACATTCACGGAGCTTCTGGGCAGCAGGCTCAACTGTAGCTGCCCAAAAATATACGGGTCGCGTTTTCCGTTAAGCTCGCTCGCTGCCCAAGCATCATAAAGCGGTCCGTCTACGAAATGAATGGGTCTGCTGGTGTGTTGGCTGGATGATGGGTGAACTTGACGGAGTTGCCGTCGTGAGATGAGACCCAGGCTGCTCAAAGAAAGATTCTGTTCTGTCATCGTCAATAGAATGCAATTGTCGCAGCGTCGTGGCGGGGGGCAGCGACTCAGACGGAGCCTGTAACGCGTCGCGCTGTCAGGAAACGCGCCTCGTTTGCGTGCTTCTAGCAAACTGCACTCGAGGACTAGGGTTCGGTCTGGCATCCCACCAAACCAGCCCCCCAAGAATGACCTGATATGCGATATGTGCAGATTTGTTAACCTTCCCGCAAACGTAAGTTTCACTAGAACTTTAGAACATGAAATTTTCTAAATGCACATTATTATTCTCATCAACTCTGCTGTTTCCGTTGCAGCTCCATAATGTACCGGTACAGAATAACTCAAGCTCTCATTCAGCAATCGTATTATCTTTTTTCTTCGTAACATGGTGTGATGATTTTTCATTTTTGATAAATAACTGGCATTAGAGTTGCCATAAGTGCTGATAGCATCACGTGCAGATGAGCTTGGTTGGCAGATATACTGGAGAAACCAGCAAGCAACTTGTGCTGATGAGTTCAGCATGAGTAACTGCACCCATTAGGAGCAACCTATGAGATGCGCTGATGAAACAGGAGTGAAATTCTGATGGCATCATCAGCTCGAGAATCTGCCATGAAATGTTGAAAGCATCATGACCAGTGGATGAGTTGCTGTTGCAAACATAATGAGCTCGTCAAACTCAAATGAAATACAGGTACCGTAGATTTGTGACTTGATGAAAATACCAACAGCTGCTGAAACCATGAAGAGCAGATGAATGTAGCATGACATACAGCTGGTCCCACACTGAACACATAAAGACCTGCTGATTTAAGCATGACGTGATGATCAGATTAACGAGAGTCACACAAAGCATCAGGGGCATGGTGAGGTGATGAGATGAGCATGAAATACTGAAAACATCATTTGCTGGTGGGATTGGGCATGATTTCCTGAAACTGGCAAGAAATACAGAAAGCATAAAAGAAGAGCTATTGAATTTGGCATAGTAAACCAGCTAGATTTACGAGATTAGCTTCCCTCGTAAGAAAAGACTGCAGTTGCTGTGAAAATGGTGCAAACAATCAGGGATGCTGACAGCATCACTGCTGGCTGACTTTCAGATGATTGAAAGCGGAAAAGTGAGGGTTGAAAAGGGCACTATGACTATTGACTGGGAAGGCAAAACAAAATTGCTCACAGCATCACTGGTGGCCAATCGTCAGGTAGCTGAGGAAGCACTCTGAGGAAGCAAGCAAGCAGGGATGAGAGTTGGGAGAAATTTGAATACTCAGGAAAGTTCCTGAATTCTCTCTATTCAGAGCAGATAGGCCTCAAAAGGTTACTCTGAGTGAACCTACCAAAGTGGTGTGAGGCGAGGAGGTAAAAGAGTTGTGAAGGTTGATTGGTAGAGGACGGACAGGAAGTTGAGAGGGCAGGAAGGAGTGGAGTTGTGTGTGAACACAGAATGGAAAGAGTGTCGAAACTTAATAAAGGCAGAGAGGGAGGCACCAGAACCACGAAAACTGACCGACACGGCAAGACAGGCTAGAACGCATTTTTTTTTGCAGAAGTCGAATATCTTAGAAGCTGGAGGTAATAAGTACAACAGGGTGTAAATGAGAAGGCATCAGCTGATGAAACTTAAAACTAGCACTTGAAAGGTTCCACAAGAAACAAGCGAGCATGAGCAAACGAGCATGAGCAAGCCAGCACGAGCAAGTGAGCATGAGCAAGTGAGCATGAGCAAGTGAGCATGAGCAAGTGAGCATGAGCAAGTGAGCATGAGCAAGCAAGCATGAGCAAGTAAGCATGAGCAAGTGAGCATGAGCAAGTGAGCATGAGCAAGTGAGCATGAGCAAGTGAGCATGAGCAAATGAGTATGAGCAAATGAGCATGAGCAAGTGAGCATGAGCAAGTGAGCATGAGCATTCTCCAAACCCCCTGCTGAACCACATCCCCTTACTTCACCCCTCCTCTGGCAAAAGACATGCCACCACCCATCCCTCCTCCCACGCACCACTCCCACTCTCAGCTGCATAAAGTGGTGAAATTTGCACAAGCACATGAAAGCATCATGATGAGCTGATATGGATGGCATCATGCTCATGAGCTAAGGAGCGAAGGAGATGAACTAGTCAAAACAACATGAGAGACAGAGCTGATTAATGAGCCGAGAAGAGTCGCATGAGAATCTTACATCATAATGGCATGATGGATTGGCATGAAATCGTGAAAGACTTCGGAGCTGATGGAACTAGCATATGATGCAGCATCATATGATAAAAGAAAAGCAATGGCAATAGCAGAAAATACAGCAATGCCACAGAAAGATACAGCAATAGCAGCTTAAGCTGATGTAAAAATATTGGGACCCTAGAGAGAAAAGAACCGTGAGCTGATGTGAATGGTATGAGCGCTTGAACGAATGATAATGATCAAAACGGAATGATACGGTGAACGCAATATGAGTCGATGAATCTGGCAATTTAAGTGAAATGTCAAACCAACCAAACAGCACAAGATGATTACAAAGCCTGAGCTGGTTGATGCAGAAGTACTGTTTCGAACTCAAATATCACAATGGATGGAGGGAGGCGATGGGACGGGACGGGATGGGATGGGATGGGATGGGATGGGATGGGATGGGATGGGATGAGATGGGATGGGATGGGATGGGATGGGATGGGATGGGATGGGATGGGATGGGATGGGATGGGATGGGATGGGATGGGATGGTATGACAAGAGAACTACTGCTGACCAAGTCCGCATGAACATTCCCCTTGAAATCAGACAACTAGTACCACCACCATCAAGTCTCTTCTCCCTGCTTCACCCATCCATAGGAACACACCCACCAACCATTCCTCCCTTGAATGCACCACTCATTCGCAACACACAAACACAAAATGCACATCAACAGCATGCATATATGTAAAACATGAACAACTACAAGCTACAAACCTAGAACATAGATTATGATCATCTAGACCTTTCTACTATTCATGAGTCAAGCAGGTGCAGCAACAGATGGCACAGTGAGCATGAGCATTCCCCTTGAAGCACACAGTCAGCACAAGCATTCGGATCCAAGGGATGTCATTCCCTCTCATGCCAAGCCTCCCCATTCCAGCTCACCACATTCATCCACCACTCCTCCCATCTCTCCCACAACTCCCTGCAAGCAGGGTGGAAAAAGGGGTAAGTCCCTCCATGCACCTCCCTCTAGCCCCCACCAGCCATGCCATCTCGCCCACCACACTCGTCCCTTCACATCCCCATTGAACATGACCAGGATCCCATCTGATGCTGCTGCTGCACATTTTTTTGTCATTCGTTTCTCTTTTCGTATTTTCTCTTTTTTTTTCTCGTTTTTTTTTTCCTCTCTCCTTTTTTTCCCCTTTGTTTTTTTCAATCATTCACTTGGCTGCTACCTTCCCTCGCTTGGGAATGCCACTCGCAGTCACTCCTGCTGCAACCCTCCTTGTTGACGCACTGCTTGCAGGTCTGGGGATCCCAGCCCCGCCAGCAAGACCCGCCTTCATGGTGAGAGGAGCTGCGGCTGCGGCTGCTGCTGGGACTGCTGCTTGCACCTGCAGCCTTCTCACCTACCGCGGCAGTAGGGCTTGCACGTGTCGCCTTGGCCGGTGCCATCTTAGCTGGTGTTGCTGGCGTCACCTTAGCTGGTGTTGCTGGCGTCACCTTGGCTGGCGTCGCCTTAGCTGGCGTCGCCTTAGCTGGCGTCGCATAAGTTGGCGTCGCCTTGACTGGCGTCGCCTTAGCTGGCGACAGCTTGGCTGGCGTCGCCTTGGCTTGCGTCGCCTTAGCTGGCGTCGCATTAGCTGGCGTCGCCTCAGCTGGCGTCGCCGCCTCAGCTGGTGTCGCCTTACTAGCTCGCGTGGCTTTGGTTGCTGCAGCTGCGACGGTCGCTTGACCGCTGTGCACCGCTCTGGGCTTCACAGCAGCAGCGGTACCCATCACATCCCTGGGCCTGGGCTTCTTGCTGGGCGGCTTAGCCACGGGCTTGGGTCGCAGAGGGGAGAAGCCGAGCGACGCACGGGGGGAGCGCACAGCGCACTGCTCTACCTCGTTAAAGCGTCCCACGCGCACTGCAATCGCGTGTCGCCACATCTTCAAGATGTTAGCTGCGCGGGGGATCCGAGATGCCATAGCGGTAGGGTAATCACACAGGACAAACGAGAGGCGAAGATAAATCCTTCGAAGGAGCTAGAAGCAGAGTCCGAAGAAATTTTGAGATTGCAACTGTGGTGGTGGAAATGGCGAGGACAGGTGGGCTTTGTAGTGTTGGA